GGGAGGTATTTGGGAGGGGTGGGGAAGTGAGCTGGTGGAGATGACTTGGAAAAGGGAGGGAAATTCTCACTGTCTTCTTAGCAGCTGAAGAGAGAGCTGATAGCCGTCAAGGTCAACTGTTCTGGCATACCAGATAGATGGGGCCATCTGAAGAAGTACCCCACATGACACCTTGGGGAGATGTGGATTGGACACTCAACCTGGGTCCTTGGGGGGGAGGGATTTGGGGATGCTTTCAATATGTAATTTTTGCACCTATTGCCTCAGACTTTGCTTTTCTTGCGCTGCATTCAGTTCATGCTCAGTAAAAGTAACTTTCTCTACAAACATGGAGTTCAGGTTTTTCTTTCTTGGGTTTTGAATGGAGGCACACCTGACAATTTTGCTTTAACTTTTTCCAAACTAAAAGTAGAGCATTTCGTACATAATGTCTTTGAAAATATCTATGTACCACATTTTCCGGCGTATTTTTAGCACATGAAAATCTTCTCAAAAGTCGGGGGTCATCTTATATGCCGGGTGTCATTCTCCTGTAACCAGGCAGACCAGCCCGAAAGGCTCTGATGAGCCTTAAATGGCTCTGGCGATCCAAGCTCTGACGATCTGCTAATCAGGCAACTCTGCTGGGATCGCCAGAGCCATGGAGAAGGAAAAAACTTTTCTCCTTTCACATGGCTCTGACGATCCAAGCTCTGACGATCTGCTAATCAGGCAACTCCGCTGGGATCGCCAGAGCCATGGAGAAGGAAAAAAAACTTTTCTCCTTTCACATGGCTCTGACGATCCAAGCTCTGACGATTTGCTAATCAGGCAACTCCGCTGGGATCGCCAGAGCCATGGAGAAGGAAAAAACTTTTCTCCTTTCACATGGCTCTGACGATCCAAGCTCTGACGATCTGCTAATCAGGCAACTCCGCTGGGATCGCCAGAGCCATGGAGAAGGAAAAAAAACTTTTCTCCTTTCACATGGCTCTGACGATCCAAGCTCTGACGAACTGCTAATCAGGCAACTCCGCTGGGATCGCCAGAGCCATGGAGAAGGAAAAAAAACTTTTCTCCTTTCACATGGCTCTGACGATCCAAGCTCTGACAAACTGCTAATCAGGCAACTCCGCTGGGATCGCCAGAGCCATGGAGAAGGAAAAAACTTTTCTCCTTTCACATGGCTCTGGCGATCCAAGCTCTGACGATCTGCTAATCAGGCAACTCCGCTGGGATCGCCAGAGCCATGGAGAAGAAAAAAACTTTTCCCCCTCCAGCTTGCTTACCTTAGCGCTTGCCTTGCTTCACTTTGCCTTGCTTCGCTTGCCTGAATCCATTCCATCAGCAAGCAACTCCCTGCCTGCAATCAAGCAGGCAGGGAGTTGTGGACTTCAACTCCCAGAATTCCTCAGCCAGCAAAGCAAAGCTGGCTGAGGAATTCTGGGAGTTGAAGTCTACAAGTCTTAAAGTTGCCAAGGTTGGAGACCCCTGTTCCATTGGATAAGTTTTTTTCCCCTTTGGGATCTTTAAAAAAAATAGTTAATTGGGGTTTTTTTTAGTTGTTCTTTTTTAGACCTAGCCATTTAAAGTTTAGGAAGTTTTAAATTTAGCTTTCATATAAAAATAAAAATAAAATAAAATAATATTTGTGCAGCTTTCTGAGATTTAGTGTGTTTTTGTAGTGTTTCACTCTAACTACACAAACACACAAAATTTCACAAAGCTGTATGTGGAATTTTGTGTGTGTAAAGTGTGAAAGTTGGGTTTTTGGGCTTTTTGTGGCTGTGTGAGGTTCCTGCTTGTTGCAGGGGCCATTTTGGGTCTAGCACAGCTGCTTTTACATTGTGGGTGAGCCAGTTGTGTTGTGTTGTGTTGTGTGTGTGTAAAGTGTGAAAGTTGTTTTTTGGGGCTTTTTGTGGCTGTGTGAGGTTCCTGATTGTTTCAGGGGCCATTTTGGGTCTAACACAGCTGCTTTTACATTGTGGGTGAGCCAGTTGATGTTTTTTAATTTTTATTTGGTGTGCATTGGAAGAGGGGTACTCTTATATGGCGAGTATAGCCCAAACCCTACATTTTAACAGGAAAATTTGGGGGTCGTCTTATATGCTCAGTCGTCTTATACGCCGGAAAATATGGTATTTTATTCTTTTCATACCCTAGAAAGGCATGCCATCCCAACTGCCGTCCCTCCAACAATAATAATCTTCTATGTCTAAGGTTTATCCCTATTCTTTCACCCAAATGTAGAAGTTTGGTAAGAAAGTTCACAATCTGGCATCCCAAAACCTCCATTGTTTTTAGAATCTTGCAGCATTTTCAGTCTTTTTCTTGCTCTTTTCCCTTGCTAAAAATTATTTTCTTTAATTCATCAAAATATTTTTTCTCTAGTTTTATAGGAATAGTTTGAAATAGAAATAGTTACTTCAGCAAGATATTCGTTTTTATAGTTGCTATTCTTCCTACCATTGAGAATTGCCAAATTTTTCCATTTCTCCAAGTCTGATTTAATTTGTTGCATTAACCTTGTATAATTATCTTCTTTAATTGTTTCACATCTTATTGTTAAGTAAACTCCTAAGTATTTTACTTTTTTCACTGCCTGAAAGCCTATATTCTTTGTCAATTCATTTTTTCTGTTTATCTGTAAAGTTCTTAAGTAGTAATTTGGTTTTTTCTTTATTTATTTTCAATCCTGCAACTTCTCCGTATTCTTCTATTTTTCCTATTAGCTTGGGTCTAGTTTCCAATGGCTCTTCCAAAATAAGCACCAGTTCATCTGCACATGCTTATAGTTTGTATTTTTCTCTTTTATTTCCATGCCTTTTATTTCCTGATCTTGTCTAATACTTCAGCACTTCCAATGTTAATATAAATAGAAATAGGGATAGTGGACATCCTTGTCTTGGGCCTTTTTTTATATTGAACTTCTCCATTGAGTCCCCATGCACAATCACTTTTGCTGTTTGTTTGGAATAAATTGTCTTAATCATATTTATAAACTTCTCGCCAAAATCCATACATTCTAAATGTTGAAACATAAACGGCCAGTTTACATTGTCAAATGCTTTTTCTGCACCTAAAAAGATCAATGCCATTTGTTTTTCAGAGTGCACTTCATAATACTCCAACATATCTAAAATAAATTTTACATTATTTTTTATTGGTCTTTCAGGCAAGAATCCATTTTGGTCTGGATGTATAAATTCATTCAAGAATCTTTTTAATATTTCTGCTATTATTGATGTGAAAATTTTGTAGTCTGCATTTAATAATGATATATGCCTGTAATTCTTTATCTGTGTTAAATCTGAGTGTTCGTTTAGAACTAATGTAATATTTGCTTCTATCCAAGTATTTGGCATCTTAGCTTCTAAGAGTACTTCATTGTAAAGCTCTAACATTGATGAGCTTAATATGTCCTGTAGATGTTTATACACCTCTGCAGGGAGTCCGTCTGGCCAAAATAATGCTTTTTTTCAAGGTACCACATTTATTTTCTACCAATTTTTCACAAAATAAAATATGAACAGATCCAGTAGGTATCAGTCATTTATTGTATGCATTTTTTTTCAAGGAGAAACAATGCAGAACTTTTTTAAAAAATACCTTAAGCTCACTAAAAATCTTCAAAAGATTTCTTGGACCCAGGTACCTTCGAGACCGTCTTCTGCCACCAATAGCCTCCCACCGACCAGTCCGCTCCCACAGAGAGGGTCTCCTCAGGGTGCCATCAGCCAAGTTATGTCGGCTGGCGACACCCAGGGGGAGGGTCTTCTCTGTGGGAGCCCCAGCCCTGTGGAATGAACTGCCCCTGGAAATACGTAAGATCTCCGACCTCCGGGTGTTTTGCTGCGCATTGAAGACCCTGTTGTTCCGCCCAGCTGGCCTATCAACATAATAATTTTAAATTGGGGTATTTTAAATTTTTGGGGTTTTAAATTGGCCAAATCTATTTAATTATTTTAATTTTTAATCATTGTTGTGTCTTGTGTTTTTAAATTGGCTGTACATCACCCTGAGTCCTTTGGGAGAAGGGGGGTATAGAAATAAAATTATTATTATTATTATTATTATTATTATTATTATTATTATTATTATTATTATTATTATTATTGTTGTTGTTGTTGTTGTTGTTGTTGTTGTTGTTGTTGTACCAAAGTTTCATACATTTATTGCAAACACTTTAACATAACTTAAAGCAGAGGTCCCCAACCCCCTGGCCATGCCAGAAACCATGAAAAATGCCAGATTCTTTATTATGGTCATTAGTCAGCATTCATTTTGAATAAAGGATGAGACAGAAGGAAGAATACAAAGACCATGAAATAATAGGTGGCACACGGAGCCACACGGAGCCATATCTGTGGGCACGTGAGCATTGCCCAGCTCAGCTCCAGTGCCCATGAGCGCACCAGCCAGCTGGTTTTTAGGCCTTCGGGGCCCATTGGAAATCAGGAAACAGATGTTTCCAGCTTCTGGTGGGCCTCCTGGGAGGGGAAGGCTTTTTAGCCCTCCCCAGGCTACAGGAAAGCCTCTGGAACCTGGAGAGAGTGAAAAACAGGCCTACTGGGCCAACCTGTAACCTTCTCACCATCATGTGCCAAAAGTTGGGGAGCATGGGGGTTGTGTGTGCATGCACGGGTGGGGGGGCATTGAATTATGGGTGTAGGCACAACCTCCCCAATTTTGGCATGCGACAGCAAAAAGATTAGTCATCACTGTCCTATACCATTTCAAACAAATGGTTGTCCAATATGACTGGATCTTAAATACCTTACATAAAACCTTCCTTGACAGAAAAAAAACAACCCTATGTTGCTATATTTTTTATAAATATTTCCTTCGAGAGCAAGCAGTTTTTCTATTCCTTTTTTCAGCATTCTTTTACACAAATCTTTCTTTGACAAAAATAAAAAAAATAATTATTATTCCTACAATTTTATATGTTTCTTACAGACTGCATTCTTTCTATTTCTTTTTTCAGCAATTTCTCTGAGCCAGAAATGTGACATTATATACTAATTTCTCTTTGTGAGTTGTTCTCTGTGGTTGAGGTCAGGTCGGAAAACAATGATGTAGCATTTGGGCAGGAATATGCATCCCAACAATGCAGCACTGGAGGACAAGATGGAGAAGACCTCCACAGCTACCATGGCTTTTCCTTTTGTGCTCAGATAGGCTGGAAAGAAGGAGATCCACACACTGCAAAAGGCCAACATGCTGAAGGTGATGAACTTGGCTTCATTAAAGCTGTCGGGTAATTTACGGGCAAGGAAAGCCACAATAAAGCTGGCGATGGCCAAGATACCCATGTAGCCCAAGACACAGTAGAAGAAGAAAGCTGACCCCTCATTGCATTGTAAAATCATTTCTTGGAGTGCTGAGTGCTTGTCCAACTCAGGGAATGGAGGTGATATTGACAACCAAAGAATACAAATACATACTTGGAAGACAGAGCAGGAAAGAACAATAGAAAGAGCCAATCTTTTCCCCACCCATTTCCTCATTTGAGATCCTGGTTTAGTGGCCATGAAAGCCACAACTACAGTGATGGTTTTTGCCAGTACACTAGAAATCGCCACAGAGAAAGTGAGGCCAAACATTGATTGTCGGAGAAGGCAGGTCACATTGCCAGGTTGGCTGAGGAAGAGCAAAGAGGAGAGAAAACAGAGCTGAAGAGAGACAAGCAGGGTGTAGGTGAGGGACCGGTTGTTGGCTTTGACAATGGGGGTATCCCTGTGTTTAATAAAAGTACCAAGTATCCAAGATGTCAAGAAGGAGAAACAAAGAGCTGCTGAGGATAAACCAATTCCTATGGTTTCTTCAAAGGTTAGAAACACCACCAGTTTCAGGATGCAGCCTTTCTTTTCTTTATTTGGATAATGATCTTCTGAACATTCTAAGCAATCTTCCATATCTGGGAGGAAAGTCAAGAAATTTGTCATCTAGGAATTCCAAATTATTGAAATTCATTTTATCAATTTTATGCATCCTAAAGTTGTATATTTAAGTTTGCTTAAGTCTAAGGAAAAATGGTAGAATTCCTGCCCTACCATTTTGATTTGAAATCTTCCCCTCCATGCATGGAACGCAGTCATAGCAGCAGAACTGATTTCCCTCAATCCCTTTCTTCCAGGATCCAGGGAAACAAGGGTCATTGCATCGAGAAAATGGAAGAACCTGATGATAAACATGAAAATGTTCTGAAAAGAAGGGTTTTTAAAACAGTTTCTGAATGGAGTGACATGATTATTGACTTCATTGTTTTTTCTGCAGTTCTAATTATCCATTGAAGTCTGTATCTGTCTTGTTCAGTTGCAGATCAAAACCAAACAGTTATAGAGGTGCAGAAAACAAATTCAATAATTCCTCTATGGAACAGAATCAGCATCTCTTTGGGCAGTTTGAACTTTCTGAGTTGGTGCAGAAAGAACATTCTTTTTTGGGCTTTTTTGATGACATTTATGATATTAGGTGTCCATTTTAAATCTTGAGATATGATAGAACCTAGAAACTAGAAGGACTCTACTGTTGATACTGTGTTTTCTAGTATTGTAACAGGTGGTAGTATAGGATGGTTTCTCCTAAAATCTACCATCATTTCTACGGTTCTAAATTCTAAATTACATTCTAAATGCCCACCAAATACATAAACATGTTTCTTTTATTGTAATATCGTTTTTGTCAATTTGAGGAATGCTTGACTATAATTATTTCAAAGAATTTGTTTATTTTTTAAAAAACAGAAATTAGATTTCTAAAGAGTCTATGTTGAAAATGGGATCATAATGGATTAAGGCATGGTGGATTCACTAATTCAATACCTGGTTAAAAGCTGGACTCCAGACAATCACATCATCATCAATCCACAGTTCCTTCCCCTTTGGAGCCTGGAGATCCATCTTTCCAACTCTAACTCTCTGAAATGATCTGTTTGGAAAAGTGATCAAGTTGGTGATGTCGAATCCACTTGTTGCTTCCCCTTTCTCATTCAGGAACACTCTCTCCCCAGCTGAATTGTTGAAAGAAATGCCTTGAAGAAATGAATGGAGCTACTTGAAAAGGAATGAAACAGAGAGGGAATTAAAAGCAATATAATAGGGAAGAGAAACTCATATTCAAGTTTCACTCATTCACTCATTTTTCCTATAACTATTATTAAGTTATTGCAAGATTATTGCAAACATGTTTCATTGTCCATACTATGGATTCCACATGTAAAAAGGGCCACTTTTACTTCATTACTCTAAAACACTGATAGAGATAGAAAACTCAGCTTGTTACCCATGAAAGGACCATGAGCCACATGGAAAATTCTTGGAGAATTGATTATGTTTGGAAGAGGCCATGAAAAGTAATTTAAATTATCATTTCAATTATCTCTTATTGTATAATGTCTGGTGATTTACTAAATAACTGCCAGTGATATATAAACCAGAATTCATACAGTAGCTTCTCAATGAACAGAATAACAACAGAAACCATTTTTTTCTCTATCTATTTAAGATATTAGAGACAGAAGGGACCTGGAGGTTTTCTAATCCAACACCCTACTCAAGGAGGAGACCCTATGATATTTCAGATAAGTGGCTGTCCTTCTCTTCAGAAAAATCTCCAATTTTGGAGCATCCAAAACTTCTGAAGGCAAGCTGTTCCACTAATTAATTGTTCATTGTTCTTGCCATTTGGAAATTTTTCCTTATTTCTAGGTTGCTTTCTCATGCTTGATTCTACATGCAGAAAAGATTAAGACTTTCCACAATGGGATCAAAACATAATTTTACATCAAACTGCATATTGAAATAAAAGAAGTGTCCAAGGCAAAGGGAATACCTGCCAAGCCTGGAGATGTGGAAGGTCAAGATTTTTACAGATGATAGTTTTTTTTCTATTGAAATGCAATGTGTATAGAGCTTGCAAAGCATGAGCCACAGCATAAACAGCATTGTAGATGCTGTAGCTTTGGCCGGTCATCTCCATTTCAAAGGCAGGTCCAGGAAGATCCTCCAGCTTCATCTCCCCAGTGCAGTTTCTACTCTGCATTTCTTGTAACTTTGATTTTGGAAATGAACAATCAAATGCTTGTTCCCAAACTTCCTGCAGAAACCCATCTCTGGAGTCTGAAAGAGGATTTACGGTCTGGAGAAACTCCTTGAAACCTGCAACTGCTCTTGAATGAACAGTGAAGGAAATAGCCCCATGGAACATATGAAGATCCCATTTGATTTGAAATCCTGATAATATGAAATCAATCTGTGCAGTCATGATCCATACCCTTCTAAATAATGCAATTTCCTTGCTTTCAGGATCTGTTATAAGTGTGACATATCTTAGCCATGTAATTGTCAATGATTCTCCATAGACAAGAAATGCATTGGCTCGGCTATTTACCCAACTCATGGAAATACTATAGATTCTTTGAATTACTTCTTGAAAATTTTCCAAGTGGACTAGTTGTGAAAGCCTTTCTATGAACGCTGAGCAGATTCCATTCTCTGAAAGTAAAGGCTGCATTTTCTGTAAGAAATTTTCTCCTTCGTTGTTATCAACAGTAAATATTCCAATCCATGTCCATTTGAAATGATGAAGCAGTTGGATAATCCCAATGTACTGATGGTTTTCTTTGGGGACCATGAAATAAAGTGAAGAGACTTTACTGGCCTCAAATTCCTCTTGGGGTAATGAGCCATATGTCAGCTGCAAGAAAATGAAGTAGTATTCTCTTGAGTTGTTAGATCAAATGCAATTGTCCAGATCTAGTTTTCATACAAAATATATGCAAGGAAGGAAATGTTTTCCTGAAATTCTTCTAGGTATTAATATGGAAATGAATTTATTGGAATTATTTCAAACACATATGATTGATCAATTATTTTGATAGAAGCAAAGGACACTATGTTCAAACCTTTCCTCAAGTATGGAATCTCTATAGATACTCACTTCTTGTAGTTTCAAAATTATGCTAACTATTAGTCCTTAAATTGGGCACAACATCTTGATACAAAGATAACGCTAATGCTTATTGCTCCTTTATTAATCCATAACAACATCAAGAACAGAATAATGAATTGTTCTCTTTAGCCCTTTCACAACTTACTTGTGGAATTTTGAAAGATCCTGTAATTTCAGCAATGTGAGATGATGTGACAGAATCCAGTCCCCCAATGATAGCCCTGAGATTCTTCTGTCTATCACATTTGTAGTTAGGGACAAATTTCTGGGATTTGAAAAGCAGGTCCAGGGTGGTGCGATAGGTCATCCTTCCCTTGAGGTAACTGTCATAGATGTGGAACCCAAGAGTGATGTTAGGTAAGATCTGGGAGTCCTCATTGATCTCCTTCACAGCAAAAGCCAAGGCAAGGACGTGTTGATGAAATTTGGTCATTATACTGCAAATAATTTCAATAGTTGAAAGTGTAAATTGACAATTCTCATAAGGTAGCATCATTTTTGTATAAATAACAAAGTTTTCTTTCAGTGATCGCAATAGAAAGAAAATAGCTCTTCTAAAATTATCAATAATTTCTATAGAGGGTTTTTTGGTGATCTCTGATCTTGGTTGCTTTCTTGCAGACATTTCATTACCCAAAGTAGGTAACATCATCACAACCCAACACCAATGATCTTATCTGCAAGAAAGCACTCAATGTCAGGGACCCCTCATTTCAATCCTGAACTAAAATATTCTCTTATACTGGTAATTTCTACAGAGCTCAAATTTCTTTTACAAAGCATTTTCTTGACTTCCAAGACATATGTACTGCAACAAATACAAGTGGTCAATTTTTTCAAAGTACTATATTTTCTATGATGTTTTCAAAAAATGGTTTATGAACAGCTTCAGGTGGTATCACTTATTTACCATATGTATGTTTTGTGAGGAGAGATAATGCCAAATCTTTCTAAAAATTATCTGTATCTCAGTAAATCTTCAAATAGAGGTTTCTTGGTCTGAAGTTTGGTATATTTCATGTCAAAGACTTTAAAATAATATAAAGGTTATTTCTTCCCTCATAACCAGATACAACTGAAAGAAAGAAACAGCCTACATGATGTTAAAAATCATATGATTCTGCGCAAATCTCTTTTAATCATATAAAGGATTTTTGAAAATCTGAGTAAGTTAAGAGAGAGGAAATAATTCTTACCTTGGTATTTCATAAGGTTTCTTAGAAGGATTTTCACTAAATTTAATTTCATAAAGGTGGTAGGTGAAGTGAGATGCCATGCCTCCAATGATGAAGTCTCCAGGCTGGTACCACTCATGTGGAATAAAGAAAGCATCACTTGCAGGGCATTTCAGAGTAACTACTTTATGCACCAAAAACATTACCAAAAACATCTTCATGCTTTTGTTATTGTGAAAACGGTTTGCCTTCCAGCCAACCAATCACAAAGTATATACAATCCAATACTTCATTTTAAAATTGATCCAGGGTTACTCTATATCTGAGAATGCACCTAAGGAGAAAATCTATTGTTTTCTATTTGAAGATCCATGTGAACACAAATTTGTATCTTGAATGCCACCAGGATTTGAACAGATATTCTGGCAGAAAAGAACAGAGAGCGGATACTTGAAGGAACAAATCTGGCAGAGATTACTTCTTGTACCAAACTTCCTGTGGTTTGTTGTTGAATTTCAATAGCCTTCTATGTAGCCTTTAATGTTTTGGTCTATAGTAATTCCTCTGGGATATAATTATTTTGTTTTGATGAGATAATATGTAACTGATGGTACAGCTATTTTTTTAAAAATGAGCAATGCCAATGAAAGTAACCAATGGAAGATTTGCAATAGAATATATATTTAATTGTTAAAAATAATCCTTTTTTCTTTTTATTTTTTTTTTAATTTATATATTTTTCTGCAGCATACATTAGTGCTTAGTAAACAGTGCATTGTCTGGGTCAATTTATATTATAAATAATAATAATAATAATAATAATAATAATAATAATAATAATAATAATAATTTTTGTACATATTAATTATTTTTCAACTTCCAACCTCCGCCTGTATTATCTAACCATTGATAAAATAATCCCGTATTAAAAATATTCTGTATCTTCCTTGTTCTTCATCTTTAGTGTTAACCTGTCCATTTCTGCACATTCTAGTATTTTTTAAATTATATTTTCCTCTGTAGGAATTTCATCAGTTTTCCAGTGCTGTGCAAATACAATTCTCACTGGTGTCAAAACATACAATAATAAATATACATTCCCTTTGCCATATGTTTCTGGTAATATATCTAACAGAAATATTTCTGGCTTTATATCTATATGTTGCTTTAACATTTTCTCCAACCATGTTTGTAACTTTGTCCAAAGTTTTTTTGCCTTTGGGCATGTCCTCCACATATGATAATAAGTACCTGGTATCTGGTTGCATTTCCAGCTTGTAGCGGACATGTTTTTAAACATCCTTGCTAACCTTGCCGGTGGCAAATGCCACCTATAAAACATTTTATATAGATTTTTCTTGTATGTGGTCACCATTGTCAGTTGATAATTTCTATACCAGAGTTTTTGCCTTTTATCCAGTTCTATAGTTTATCCAAAGTTTTTCACCCATACTATCATTGTCTCTTTCACTTGTTCACCATCCATTTTGAAGCTTAGTAAACAGTTATGTATTTTCTTTATTAATTTTTCATCCATCCCTAATAATATCTGGTCCAATACTGTTGACTTTTTATAGAAACCATGTCTTTGCAGCTTTCTCATATCTTGAAGAGTGAGTCAAGCTATTCTCCAAAGCACTTGAGGGCAGGACAAGAAGCAATGGGTGGAAACTAATCAAGGAGAGAAGCAACTTAGAACTGAGAAGAAATTTCCTGAGAGTTTTTTATTTTTTTTATTTTATTTTATATCAAATTTATATACCGCCCTTCCCTCTGAGGATTCAGGGCAGTATACAGCCAAAGTAAAAACATAAACTACAAACATTAAAATACAATTAAAATATCTATCTATCTATCTATCTATCTATCTATCTATCTATCTATCTATCTATCTATCTATATTTGGCCCCATAATTAAAAGCAATGACAAAACAATTAAAAACATTTTTAAAAAGTGTTAGGCCAGCCCGGCTTGCTGAAAAAAGAAAGTTTTAAGAACACGGCGGAAGGCACCGAGGTCTTGGATTCTCCTTATCTCTGGGGGCAGCTGGTTCCAGAGGGTAGGTTCCCCCCACAAAGAAGGCCCTCCTCCTGGGGGTCACCAGCCCCTCCCCCTGGGGGTCACATTGTTTGGCTGATGGCACCCGAGGAGGTCCTCTCTGTGGGAGCGCACAGGTCGATGGGAGGCCGTCGGTAGCAGCAGGCGGTCTCAAAGATATCTAGGTCTTATGCCATGGAGTGCTTTAAAGGTAATAACCAACACCTTGAAGCGCACCCAGAAGAACACTGGGAGCCAGTGCAGCTCACGCAGGAGAGGTGTTGTATGGGAGCGCCATGCAGCTTCCGTAACTACCTGCGCAGCTGCATTCTGGACCAGTTGGAGCCTCCGGGTGCCCTTCAAGGGGAGCCCCATGTGGAGAGCGTTGCAGTAGTCCAGGCGAGAGTTAGAAGAAATAGAATAGAATAGAATAGAATAGAATAGAATAGAATAGAATAGAATAGAATAGAATAGAATAGAATAGAATAGAATTTTCCTGAGAGGGAGAATAATTAATCAGTGGAACAACTTGCTTCCAGAAGTTTTAAATGCTTCAATACTGGAAGTTTTGAAGAAGAGGTTGGATAACTATTTGTCTGAAGTGGTGTATGGTTTCCTGCCTAAACAGGGGGTTGGATTAGAAGACCTCCAAGGTCCCTTCCAATTCTGTTATTCTGTTGTTCTATTGTTCTTGATTGTATTTGCAGATGTGGTCACCATGCTAGGTCTACACCTTGTTCTTGTAGTACTTTCTTTGTCAATTCATTTTTTCTGTTTATCTGTAAAGTTCTTAACTAATAATTTGGTTTTTTCTTTATTTATTTTTCAATTCTGCAACTTCTCCGTATTCTTCTATTTTTCCTTTTAGCTTGGGTCTAGTTTCCAATGGCTGTTCCAAAATAAACACCAGTTCATCTGCACATGTTTGTAGTTTGTATTTTTCTCTTTTATTTCCATACCTCTGTTCAACATTTATGTGAAGCCGCTGGGTGAGATCATCCGTGGTTTCGGGGTGAAGTACCACCAGTACGCTGATGACACTCAGCTGTACATCTCCACCCCGGGCCACCCCAATGATGCCCTTGAAGTGATGTCCCGGTGCCTGGAGGCCATGCGGATCTGGATGGGGAGAAACAAACTCAGGCTCAACCCTGTCCTCCTGGGTACACAGCTGTCTTTAGAAGAACATCTGACAGCTGTGGCCAGGAGGACTTTCTATCAGGTTTGCCTGATTCACCAGTTGCGTCCCTTTCTGGATCGGGACTCCTTATGCACGGTCACTTATGCTCTCGTCACTTCCCGCCTGGACTATTGTAATGCTCTCTACATGGAGCTCCCCTTGAGGAGCACCCAGAGGCTCCAACTGGTCCAGAATGCGGCCGCGAGGGTGGTTATGGGAGCAACATGGGGCTCCCATGTAACACCTCTCCTGCACAAGCTGCACTGGCTCCCAGTGGTCTTCTGGGCGCGCTTCAAGGTATTGGTTACCACCTTTAGAGCACTCCATGGCTCCATGGTACCTACGAGACCACCTTCTGCCACTGGTAGCCTCTCATTGGCCAGTACACTCCCACAGAGAGGGGCTCCTCAGCGTGCCATCAGTCAAACAGTGTCAACTGGCGGCCCTCAGGGGGAGAGCCTTCTCTATGGGGGCACCTGTGGGGCACCTGCCCTTTGGAACAAGCTCCCCCGGGAGATACGGAGGATCCCAGATTTACTCACTTTCCGCCGTACCCTCAAGACTTTTTTATTCCAACAAGCTGGGCTGGCCTAACTCTTTTTAATTGCTTAATTTTAATTTGCTTTTAAAAAGGGGGTGTTTTAATTATGGGCCAAATTTGTTTAATATGTTTTTAAATTGTTTTTAAATTTTATATTGTATGTGTTTTATCTTTGGCTGTTCACCGCCCTGAGTCCTTCGGGAGAAGGGCGGTATATAAATCCAAATAAACCTAAACCTAAACCTTTTATTTCCGGATCTTGTCTAATACTTCAGCACTTCCAATGTTAATATAAACAATAATAGGGATGGCAGACATCCTTATCTTGGGTCTTTTTTTATATTGAACTTCTCCATTGAGTCCCCATGCACAATCACTTTTGCTGTTTGTTTGGAATAAATTGTCTTAATCATATTTATAAACTTCTCGCCAAAATCCATACATTCTAAATGTTGAAACATAAATGGCCAGTTTACATTGTCAAGTGCTTTCTCTGCACCTAAAATGATCAATGCCATTTGTTTTTCAGAGTGCATTTCATAATACTCCAACATATCTAAAATAAATTTTACATTATTTTTTATTGGTCTTTCAGACAAGAATCCATTTTGGTCTGGATGTATAAATTCGTTCATGAATCTTTTTAATATTTCTGCTATTTTTTTTATTTTAAAAAGTTTTTTTTTATTTTATAAACAAACAAACAAACAATACATAATCAAGCATTCAGTGTATCTTCTAAATACATCTTTTGTGTGTTCTTTTTACTCCTCCAGTATTTATCATATCTTAATATTATCATTTCCTTTATTATGACATTTCCCCACATTTCTTACTTCTCTATTAATACATTTATCTATCTTTTAATTTTATCAAAAATTAGACAACAATTTTATCCCCACACAACTTTCAACCCCCCCTCCCCACGCCCCCCCCCGACTTCCCAGAGCAAAAACAGGGTATAACGTTAAACAAGCATAAGCTAAAATATGCTAACTTACTACAAGGTTCCCTCACACTCTTTAACTCCTCTTTTAAAAATTATTCATCAACCTCCCCTTTACAAATTCTCTGATCACATTTCACATTTTTTAGTAAAATCCTTTCCATACCTTCTTTTTCAGCAATTCTAAATTAAACATTTTAAAACTTTCTTTAAATATATATATATGTTTTCTGAGGTTTTCGCGGGTGTTTGTATGTAGGTCTTTGGTTATTCGGGTTTTCTCCCGTGTAAAATTGGAGGTTTCTTGGCGACGTTTCGACGAAGTCTCATTCATTGCCAACCTCTATATGGAATACTTTGAAACCCAAGCTTTAGAAAAATCTGATCACAAACCCAAACTCTGGCTCAGATATGTAGATGACACCTTCATAATCTGGCCACATGGGAAAGAAAAACTGGACAACTTCCTCACACACCTCAACAGCCTACACCCCAAAATACAGTTCACCATGGAAA